TGCCGGATATATTTTACCGTTGATTTTGTACGATCAATTTCAATTAAAATTGGTCTAAGGAATTAAACGATGATGGGTGAAAGTTAATTTAATAAATTTTACCATTTTACTTTGTAAAATACATATATTAAAAATTCAATAACTATAGCAGCCAATAAAATGATGACACATGTATTAAAAAAATTATCAACGAATTAAAAGATAACATGTGTACTTAAAAATTATCGATGATCTAATTAACTGACATGTGTCTTTTGAAAGAAATTCCCTTAATATATAGTAAGATTTACGGGTTGGAGGGAAAATCAAAAATGAAATTTTTTCAAATGTAAATTTCATTAAAAAAATAAATTCAATAGCCTCCTACTTTCTATAATCTTTTTTTTTTAAAAAAAATAGTTTAAAGAGGTTTTTCTTTAGTTTAGAGTTTACTATACAATATAATAGGATTAGGAGAAGAATTTATTTATTTTAATCAGATTACAATATTGCCAACGATACAATTATTTTTTTACTTAAAAATAAAAGAATAAAATATTCAATATATACAAGTTTAAGTTTACATAAACATGACTGCACTTACATAATTTTTAAACCATGTCTACATAGTTTGTAACTACATCTGCATAACTTTTTTGACTACTTATACATTTTAAAAGGCATTTACATAATATTTTAACTACATCTATATTTAAAAAAAGGAAAAAGAAAACTACATATTAAACTTCTTTACTATTAAGAAAAGTACATCCTCGCGTGGTGAGTACATGTATGTACGTACTAGTAACTCTAACCTAATTGTGACATCTTTAAAGATCGAATTCTATCTCATATCGACTGTATTTGAAAAAATAATAATGATACAAATAATGAAAATACATTACGAAAAAAATAGTAATCCGTGAAAATATAAAATATAAAATATAAAATCACTGTTTTTTAACTGTTAACTTGATAGTAATCATTAAATTTCACTATTTATTTTCACTCTCGATGTATCTTTTCTTTAGAAGAGAAAAATTCCAATTGAATGTCCTGCGAATAGGAATATAGGATTGTAAGATTAGAGCTTTTGGGCTTAAATGAGGTCCTTGTTTAACAAGATGATCATGGGCCTTACTATTAACAAGATTACCCCTCTTTCCCTTTCTTCTGAAGAAATAAATAAACAGAAAGAACAAAATTCATAAAGAAAAATTTATCCTCATTCTTTCTTCCTCAGAAACGCGCCTAAATTGATCAATGGAGGAGGCGACCACTTTCGACAGTGTACGAACTGCGAAACTCTATCCTCCTTCCATTTTCCTACCTGCTGTTTTTTGCATTTTTAATGCATGCATAGAAGAATGTCTTCATCAAATTTTGTGTGTAATTGAATCGTTTATCAATGAATTCAAAACAGGAACTGATCGGTGAAATTCTCAAGCGCATTTGGAGGAGAAGAGCCGCAGGTTTGTTAATCTGGTTCTGTCCTTTTGGCAAATTGACGAGAATTTTACCGTTTAATATGTAGCCTTTGTTTTCCCCCTTTGTGCTGATCATCTATCCTCTCTGATGCAGAACGCGAAAGAAATGGTGGAACCGATGTTGCGGATGCAGAGGTTTGTTGCAATTTTGTGGCTTTCGATTATTTGATTCTGTGTGATTTTGATTATTAAGGATGCATTTTTTTTAAAAAAAACACGATTGGCATTCCGTTGATATGATTTTGAATATTTCTTATTTTAATGTAGTTGTATATGTGAAGTTTCTGTTGATTTGGATGCTTTTTTCTTATCCAATTTCTCGATTGAACATACATTTGCAGGTTGGGGTTGTTACACCCAAGAAAAGTAAGCCACCCTCAGGTAATATTATCTATGAACTTATTGAATGATTGAATGAATTTGGCGGCATTTACTTGATGGAACCATTCTTTATGGAATGTTTACAGACTGCATTTCGTTTCTGTTTGTGTCTCGTCATAATGCCATTTTATGGTGAGATATTGGGAAGAACTTTGGATGTGATTGATTCATAGAGTTAATGTAGGACTTGGGAAACACTAGCCACTTAGTTCCGTAGGTGCTGTGCTGTGTGTTTTATAAAAAAAGAGCTTTATACATGAAGAATGCATTATGTCATGGGGGAAAATTCTGGTTGTGGTGCATGGATTGTATTAGTAGGACCTCCTAGCCACTGCTATGGCTGATGAGACCTGAGAGAGCAAACATTAGATGAGTAGGTTTTCAACATTTGATGGGCATAAGTGGAATTATGATGTATTGTTTCTCTCAGTTGTGGTTGTTAGAGAAAACTCATTGAACAAGGCTATATGAAGACTAAATAGCTCAGATGAGATTCAGCAGTAGATAATAATTAATTTCGGATGCCGTTATTTGGATTCAAAAACATTGGCCTAAGTTGGTGTAGAGTTGATGGACAGAGAGGGTAGTTGATTAATATAATTGGATTAGCGTTTTAGGAAGAAAGAACTGCCCATGTCTATATATGCTTTTACAGTGGGATCTTATCTCATTTTTGTTTTTCATTTTGGATTAAAAAAACAACTGCATATGTCAATTACAGTAGGATTTTATCTCTTTAATAGCACATTGTGAGAGCAATATCACATGATTTGTGTTTCCTTCTCTTATTCACATAAGTGTGGATGATAAAATTGTACAATAATTGTTCTCTATTCTACAATGATTGCTGCAGCTAATGCAAAGGTGCTAAAGCTTACTTCAGAACTGCTCCGAGTCTTTGTTACAGGTTTGACCTCATACATGTTTGGCGAATGAAATTGTTTTTAATATGATGTTCTTTTGGTTGTTCTCGTTGATTGAAGTCCATTTTTATACGATCTTCTTTTTTGTTGTTGTTGAAAAAAGTCCATTTTTATATGATGTAGAGGCTGTGCAGAGGTCTGCCATGATTGCTGAAGCAGAGGGTGTTAGTACCATAGAAGCAACTCATTTAGAGAGGATACTTCCACAGTTATTGTTAGATTTTTAAGGGATATGTGTTTCGAGACCTTCTATATTTGGTTTAGTGTCATATAACGGGTCTTCAAAACCTGGATGTCTGTTCTTTCTCTAAGCTAGACTTTGCAGTGTATTGCATAGTTTTGTTGTTACCCTGGCAAAGGATTTGTTACTCTCTACTAATTTGAAAACACATCAGACACTTTGACAACTCCAGAGTTATATCTGATCAGATATATGATTTTTGTGTTCTTTTTTTCCCCGCTTTCATTAAGCTTCATGTTCATCTTTTGTTTTCTATGTGCACCTTGCCCTACCTTCTTCATTTTGAAAATGTCATTTACCATGTTCATTTTTTGAAGTTTTTGCATTGTTCTTTTGCTTTGTGTTGGAATGTAAACGACATGTCTACCCAAATCCAGCTAGCACCCCATAGAGGAGTTAAAAGCTTACTGTAAATTAATTTTTTAGTTAGAAAATGTTCTAATTGTACGGGAATGTAGTGTCAAAATGGCCTGCATTTTTTCAGAACCAGCTAGAAGAAAGTGCTCTATGGTTCTCACAAATTTGTTGGTGCAAAATACAGGATAGAACGTTGCATGCTTTTTGGCTTTGTCTGAATTAGATTATACATGGAGACATAATTAAGTTCATCATTGGAAAAATTAATTTCTTTTCTATTGTTGTTTTTTTACTTACCTCCAATGTTTCTTGCTCTATTATACGTGTGAAATACCTGTGAAAATATTATACCAGTATAACCTTCTGGTAAAGTCATTCTGATTCTGGAATTTTCAAAGTAGCTTGACTTCTTAGAGTTGGTCAGTTGCCTCGCAAAGACTGCGAAGTTGATTCTCATTCTTTATCTTACCTGATCTGCATTTTTAAATAAAAAATTCTTGGTTCTCCACTTGACTTCTTGGCTCTTGCTTGACTAGAAGAATGCATAGGTTGTGATTTTGAATAGTTATAAATAATTACGATACAATTATACGTGTTGAAAGTGCTGCTTCCTTTTGACTCAATTACTCGTGCAGTTTTTCTTGTATTTTCAGTGCAATATTATACATTTCCAAAGCAAAAAAGCTTTTTACCCTGAGCTGATGCATATTAAAAAAAACAGATTGATTCCCAGTTTTGTGAAACTAATTGGTATTGGTGGTAGACTACACTCATTATCTAAACATCTAAACATGAAGTTGATAAACTTTGATAGGTTTGGGGTCTTTCTTATTCCGTCAATCGATTGATAATGAAATCAAACTAGAAATGCATAAATGCTTAATAGGAAACGAAGTTCATACAAAGTAGGAATAAAATTATATGTTACATCTTGGGAATCAAATTTGAATTGCTTGATTATATGAACTTGTTAGTTGTCGTGCTTAATCTGAGACAGCTTGGCCTCGACATCCTTGCTGTTAGGCCTCTCTTTTGGATTGTCCAAAGTGCAGAAGGACATGCGATTTTCAGAAACATGCCTCGCAAAGACTGCGAAATTGCATTCTCATTCTTTATCTTACCTGGTCTGCAGTTTTGAATAAAAAATTCTTGGTTCTCCAGTTGACCTTTTTGGCTCATGCTTGACTGGAAGAATGAATAGGTTGTGATTTTCAATAGCTATGGAATAATTACGACACAATTATACGTGTTGATAGTGCTGCTTCGTCTTTACCCAATTATTCCTGCAGTTTTTTATATTTTCAGTGCAATATTATACATGTCCAAAGCAAAAAGGCTTTTTACCCTGTGGCGATGCATATTTCATGAATTTGTAGGTTAGAGAAAACAGATTGATTCCCAGGTTTGTGAAACCAGGCTTAATTGGTGTTGGTGGTAAACTACAGGCATTATCTAAACATGAAGTTGATAAAATTTGAATGGTTTGGGGTCTTTCTTATTCCGTCAATCGATTGATAATTGAAACCAAACTAAAAATGCATAAATGCTTAATAGGAAACTAACTTCACACAAAGTTAAACTTGTATGTTACATCTTGGAAGCAAATTGGAAATTCTTGATTTTATGAACTTGCTAGTGCTCATGCTTAATCTGAGACAGCATGGCCCTGACATCCTTGCTATTAGGCCTCTCTTTTGGATTGTCCAAAGTGCAGAAAAATGCAATTTTCAGGACCAAAAGCATTTGCTCCTCATATCCATTCCCCAAGAGCTTGGGGTCAATTGCTCTCTTTGGGTCTTCAGAAGTCATCACATTCCTCATCCAATGCACTAATCGCATCTCCTCAGTTTCCTGGAAGAACCGGTCAGATGGGAGCTTTCCCATCACCAAAGAAGCCAGCAATACCCCATAGCTGTAGATGTCACATTTGTCGGTAAACTTCAACGTTTGATGATATTCTGGTGCAATATATCCGAGTGTTCCCACGACATTTGAAGATGTAACATGTGTAAAAGCTTCCGGCATTGCTTTTGCAAGCCCGAAATCTGCTATTCGGGCTTCCATGTCATCATCAAGTAGGACATTTGCCGGCTTGAGATCCCGGTGAATAATACGTGGACTGTGATTTATGTGGAGATACTCAAGCCCTGCTGCTATACCTAAAGCAATTCTGTGCCTGGATAACCAATCCAATTCCATTTCTCCTTCTGCAACTCTTTGCAATATGTCTTGTAAGCTTCCATTCTTCATGAATTCATAGACGAGGTAGTGGCAGTCTGGCCGTGGTATATGGGCTAACAGAGGGACTAAATTTCTATGCCTAATTTGTCCCACAGTCTGAATTTCGGATTTGATCTGTCTCATCTTCTTACCTAAGGCTTTACTCTCTTCTTCAGCTAGTTCTGCAGCATCTTTCGGGGGTTGCATCACCTTCTTTATTGCGATCATCTTGCCGTTACTTCCAGGCAATTCGGCTTTGTACACTACTCCACTTCCTCCTCTGCCAATGACTTCAAGTGCTGCCATTTGCTCTTCATTCTCCAAGAAAGCCAAGTCCTCTGCCTTTTTAATCAACGGGCTGAAAATTGCTGGTCCATTTTCCTTCTTCCCTCCTTTGATCAAGAACATAAGCATCTTGACAGCCACTGAAACAAGCAGGCCAGTTGCACTCCCAGCTAGAGTTCCGGCAAAGAAACCAAGAGCCCAAGCAGCTACTTTCTTTTTGCCCTTTTTATGTTTGTGAGGTGTTATGGTTGCAGTCGGCGATGGAGCTGGACCTAGATTCGATCCCAATCCATCTCCAGAATTAGGTGGCAGGGCAGATGTCTGATTTCTTCTGGTTGAGTTCTCAGCAAAAACATAACGTTTTGGAATGTTGTCATTGTAAATTCCGGTCACCTCTGCCAATGAACTGTCAACTTCTTCATTCAGTACAGGCAGGGGACCTTCTAGTAAATGGTTGCCAGAAACGTTAAGATACCGAAGATTCCGAAATGACCTCAAGGATGGAGGGATTTTACCAGAAAACAGGTTGTCAGCCAAAGAGATCTTTTCCAAGTTGGGAAAATGCTTCAAGAACCTCAAGTTTCCTTCAAACTGGTTGAGAGAAAGGTCCAGCACCCGAAGCCGAACCAGGGATGACAACTCCGGCGGAACAGAACCCGAAAGCTGATTATTCTTCAGGTCAAGAACTTCAAGTTTCCGGCAGTTGGAAATCTCTGGTGGGATCTGGTCAACGAGTTTGTTGTTTGGTAAGGAGAGCTCTTTGAGCTCAGAAAGTTTACCAATTGCCGGAGACAAAACTCCTTTCAGTTGGCGAGATTTGTATACTATCCGAGTAACTCTGAGGACATATGAGTTGTTTGAGATTCGCCTTTCGCAGAATATCCCGGCAGAACTGCATGGAGAAGACTTCCGGCCGCCATGGCGTTGACTTGGAATGATGATGCCCAAGCCTTTCTGGATCATCAGAACTGCTTCAGTGTCTGAATCATCAAGGATTTGTCTTGATTGAACAAGAAGAAACAGAGCTAAGAAAGTAAGAAGTATGGTAAGAAATTTATTGGAGGGGCTAATGGAAGCCATTGAAGACAAAGTTTCTGCAGAGCAAAAACCAGCTTGAGTTGGTGGGAAAATGGTCGAATTGTTCCTCACATGGACTGAGAATTATATTATGGTGGGAAAAGAAGAAAAAGAAATCGCAAAATTATAAACTTTTCTGGGCTGTTGGAAAATGACGGTCAATGGCTCTGTGGAACCCATTTGAAGCCCTACACCCGCGACTTTCCGAGTAATGTTTTTCTTGACTAATGATGTTTCTCCATTTCACCTTGTTTTTTAACCCTTAAACTTCAATGCACAAAGGACAAGAAGAAAATACAACAAAATTAGTGACTATTAGCAATAGGTGTATTAGTTTATTTGAAGGAATTGATTAACGTGATTGTAATCGTACCTTATGTGCTCATTTCAGAGGCCAACAGTTCAAATCTCACTACTTGATTATTCTCTAATTTTTAGAGTCAGTGCAATTATGAAGGGCTCGCCTTTACTTTTGGACAACTATGAAAATTATGAAGTAGCTTTCATGGTTACAAAATCCCCCCCAAAAAGGCAAAAACCATTTAAAAATATGATTCCACTAAACAACGTGGTAATTGAGACCGACCAGAAAGTGCAGAAAATGGGAAATGAAGGACGGCCTTTCCGAAGGGAAATTTCTAAGAACTCAGCTTTGCTGATTTTAACCTTCTTTTTTTTTTTTTCCAATTCTTATTTGTAGTATTGTATATTACACGTCTTTGATGAGAAGAAGGGAATGCTATGACTTTGACCACCCTAGCTAGAAGTACTGCCATAATAAAGAATTCTCAGTTATAAATTATACAAAAATAAGAGTGAATCTCAAAACAAGTCATCAACCTTTAATTTTTTTCCACTCTATGTTATCAATGAAATTTACTTGTAACACATGTTTAATTTAATTCTGTTTCTGACTATTACTATGTTTCAAGAAAACTAAAAGGTTAAAGATTACTTTTACCCAATTAGGAAATTACTTATACGAAGTAATGATAATCGGGAACGATCAAGTAGCCCAGTGGTTAGGGGCAACACTGTCGTGGTGTTTAATCAGGGTTCACAAGGTGGACAAGTTTTTCTTTAAAAAAAGTAATGGTACTCATACGATTACTTCAAATTTTTTTTATTCAATCTTAAAATTTATTAATTAGGAAAAAAATAAATTTCAGTATATCTTAATTAAGCTTAAACCTTAATATGGTAATATAAATTCATTTTATTAAAAATTATGGCGTACAGTTTATGTTTTATTTTATTTTTAAAATTTCATTCCCACACCGATGAAAAAAAAAGAAAAGAAATATAGTAATCTTCAAATAATTATTATTCTAGTGCATATTTGAAACATATCAAAAGTAATTAAAGATTTTTTTAATTAACCATTTCCCATAGGCCACAGTTCTGTTTTTCCTAACTCCTTTTCAGACAGAACAACACAGCCATCAAGTGAGAAATCACTGCATTAAATTGACTAATCTATACTATACCTTTTCCCGAGAAGTGTAAAATGATTGAGAATAAGTTTAAACTTCTTTTCTATTTAATTAATTCTGCCTGACAAGCATGGCTTAGTTAATTTATTTTCCACAATTTTATGTTATTCTTTCTTAGATGACAACTAACCATTATTTGGACTGTTTCACACATAGCATGTTACACATTTTATTGTATTTTGTTTTAATGCCTTTTTGCCGTACAGAAACACACTACACAGCTCAGGAAGCTTGAAATAATCTAATTTATGACATAAACTATAATAAATGAAATACAGAGGTTTTATCCAGATTTTTTTTTCTTGTACATCAAATATACTATTCCTTTGCCCAAAATCTTTGTCCCCATCAAAACTTTGCCCGAGTGAATTAAGACAATAAAATAAAGAATGACGAGATTGAGTAACGAACCTTAATATTGTGAGAATTGGTGTCTTCTTGTAATATATACTTTCTCTGTCCCAAAATTACTGTCCAATTTGAGATTTCACTTTTCGTACAATTTGAACTAGAAATAAAAATTTAAACTGGACAATAATTATGGGACGGAGAGAGTAACTTTTTAACTTTGTATAATGTTTTAGTCATTAAGAACAATTAGCGATAAATAAAAAATTGGATTCCTCTAATTTAGCCGGAAACTAACATTTAACTGGGGTGGAGACTCGTAAAGTGGTTAAAAACTAAGATAGAGTGTATTGTTTCCCTACTAATATATCTACATACACACATTAACAACTCTTAGGAATAATAAATAAAGAGTAATAATCATTGTAGGGAAAATATACAGAAATGAATTCATTACTTAAAATTACTTTTACGAGTTTATCTATTTGAGGTTAAAGGATAGTTACGATTAAGTCACACTATTCGTTGGAGGTTTGTTCTCTTTATTTTGTTGAGCGTATTACCCAAAATATATATATGTATATATATATATATATATATATATATATATATATATATATATATATATATATATACTAGTGATGTCTGGTCGCGGAATGCGCGATCCTGGCCCAATATATCTGTAGATCTTATAAATATTTGTATTTGGAAAAAAAATATTTTGTATTTGGCCCGATATATTTTAGAAATATTTGAAGAATTTTAGAAATATTTTATAAGTGTCATGTTTGTATTTGACAAAAAAATAAATTGTATTTGGTCCGGTACATTTTAGAAATGTTTGAAGATTTTAGAAATATTTTATAAGCGTTACTTCTTAAATATAAATAAACTTGATCAAATATATGTCTTGAAGTAAACGCTAGACAAAATATAAAAGTATCCTAATAAGTTTAAATATTAGTAAGATAATTTATTAATTTTCTCCATTGGTTGTGCCAAATCAATACTTAGTTTTGGAGATTTATAATAGCTTTGTAGTTAGCTTCTTCCAAAGAGTATACGCTTAATTGTTGGAACTATTTCTTCCAAAAGTTTATAGGTAGTAAAATATCAAAAATATGATTTTGAAACTGGTTAATTGTTGAAACTGGTTGATCACAAGTATGAGAATAAAAATAATATAAATTTGCATAGGTTTCAAGATATAGCAAAAAAGAACTCACCTCACGATGGAAAATAAAAAAAAAAGGTAAAAGATAGCCCATTAAAATTTGAGAATTTTTATTTTTTTTCTGAAGGTAAAAATGATGTATAAAAATACAAATAAACGTAGAAACATCACTAGGTGTTAGACCCGTCCATTGGACGGGGAACACATATACATAGATATTACTACACAAACAAATCAAAAAAATGTTAATATTTGTATAGATTTTTGTATTTTTATAAAATATATAATGAATTCATTGAAAAATATAAAACACAAACATCGACAACACTTTACCAAACGAATACACTGGTAATTTATTTAAATAAAAAAAGATTGTTAAGAAATAAAAAAAAATGAACTTTGAATTAAATAATTATATATTTTGCAGTATTTCTTGATAGACTACATTGGTAGTCTGGGATGTAAAGGTTAGTTAAGGTGGTTAAGAGATTATGATAAGGAATTTTTTTTTTGAAAAGGTTTATGATAAGGAATGGTTACTACAAAAACAACAACCCTAACCTATTGTAGAGGTCATCCAATTTTTTAATAAGAAAAATAAAAAAATAAAAAGGTTGGATATCATGACCTTTTTCTAAAAATTTGAATTTTAAAACATTTAAAAAGAAGAAGAAAGAATAGCCATAATTGAAGCCTTTTAATATTTTTATTCTTTGCCAGAGCCATTCTTAGTCCCGCTACATCAACCCATCACCATAGTATTTTAACTCAATTCCATATTTGAAGCTAAATTATAGAAGTTTCAGGTTGGCCTAACTTCTTTAATTATTTTAATAAATTATTAATATAAAATTCTTTTTCAGTTGCGTTTTTTTTTAAGGAGGAAGAGATCCGTCCATCGGATTTGTAGAGATTTGATCGAATCAATATAGAGTTTGAATTTTTTCAGTTGCGTTTTTTTTTGTTTTTATTATTTTATTTTATGCATTTTATATCTAGAAAATTAAAAAAATGCCACATAGGATTTTATCCTATGTGGCATGTGCTCCTTGATTTTAGATTTCTCTCTCTGGTTTTTACCTTAGTATAGTATATAGATAGATTCCTTCCCTCTCCACCTCAAATTTATAAAAAGATTCCCCATAAATAAGTTAAAAGAAGCGACCTGAACTATTTATATGATGAGGAACTAAAAAAAGTCTAAAAACCAAATCCAAAAAAGTATATTCTTAAAACCCCGAACACAAAAAAAGAAACGTGCTTCATTTGTAAATAATAATAATAATAATAATAATAATAATAATAATAATAATAATAATAATAATAATAATAATAATAATAATAATTGGTCAACTGAGAGTATGAAACAAAATAAAAAACAATTAAACAAAGAAAAAACACACTTAATAATTGGCCATATACGAAAAAAAACCTGAGACTCCATAATTAAAAAAAGAAAATCACCCTAATTGAATGAAACATAAAAAACAAATTTAAAAAACCACACTTTGTAACAAAAACCCAATCAATCAATTCAATCCAAACATAACTAAAATCATACAAAAATTCTAGGCTAACTAACCAAATAAGAAATCACATCATACTACCTGACAACGGCTACGGTAGCTATGACGAATGGACGCATAAAAATAATAGTAATAACACTATTTTTGAACGGGAAAAATAAAAAATAATAAAAGTCAAATCAATGATCTGTGGAAATAAAATCATTTAAATTTAATACCTGCAATGGCACCACCACAACGGCCGAAGCAAGATCAATGAAAATTTTTTTTTCTTTTCCTTTGTGTTTATATAGAGAGGTAAATAGAATATTTTTTGCAGTTGAAATTTTATCCGATTAAGATGTAGTTGATCATCACTAATGAAAAGATTAAATATGCTAATAGGAAATGAGTATATTTCATCACATATTCTTAATTGATGATTGATGAGGAATTTATTTATTTTTTAATTGTGGAGAAGGGATTGATTGAGGAGTCGATTGTCGTGGAGATGGGGATGAGGATTTGGGTTTTTTATGAACCTGTGGTTTTTTTTGACGAAAATAGGAGGTGGAAGTGAATTTAGACTGCATTTGTCTTTTAAATTTAGGAGATGTGGTAATAAAAATTTATTTTAAAAATATGATGTGGAAATGCCACATGGCAAATGATGGTACTTTCTGTGTGGTTTTTGTTTCTAATATAGTAAGATATATATATATATATATATATATATATATGTATATATATGGAACAAAACAAGAAGACCGATAAAAGTTGGACCCAACCCCCCTCTCCCAAACCACCAAGAAAAGACATTTTGAGTAATAAAAGAAATATTGAATTCATTTTAATTTCAGTAACACAAATGACAAGTTTAATCTATTTCTGGAAATGTTAGCGGTACGTTAAATCAATGATTTTTTTTTGACGGATTTCATAGTTGATTTTTCCCCGCTTATTTTATCAAAATTTTCAACGTTCAAGTTAACATTTGAGTACATACAAAAAAAAGACAACGTTGCAAGAGCTACCAAATATATGTCAATTATTTTTATGATATGAAAGGTTGATCATAAATCCAATGAAATATTAATGCAACGCAAAAACAAATATCGTTTTGCGCACTCGGGTCAAACAAAACTCGTTTTCTACATATATCAATTTTTTTTTATTTTATTAAAACTCGTAAAGACTTGACCCGTTGACCTTGAAAACAGCCATTGAATATGACTATGACATACGTAATTAATCGGGCATAAATCTCACGGCAAAGACTTATAATTGGTGTCCCAGCTGATCAGAGGAATTTCGGAATCTATTACTCTCCCTCTGTCCTAAAATTATTGTCCAGTTTGAGATTTCACTTTAGTACAATTTGAATTAGAAATGAAAACTCAAACTGGACAATAATTATGGGACGGATGGAGTATATCTTATGTTTCGAGGGCTCAATAATTCATAATCAAGATGACTTTTGTTGAACACTTTTTAACCCTATTTGATTAATTTGCTTATAATAGGATAAGAAATGTAAGGCTTAAGTATGCCTTGACAACTGACTAATTTGATTATCATGTGTCCATTTAAAACATCTTACAATTATTGAGGGGGAAAAAAAAAATTAAGGATGACTTGGTCGGTCTACAATTTCTGTAGGGGTTTTGTCAAAAATCATGACCATGGAAATAGATTCAGATTCCTTTTTGTAGAGTAGTAATACACCAATACCGTTACGAGCACGTTGTTCCTTTTGGTGCTAAGTTAATATTGCTTGTTTGGGTAAGCATGTAGGAAAAGAAAGAAGATAATTGAATAAATTAAATGATTGTATAAATACATTTGAATAATTTAAAGTAAAATTTTATTTATCTTTAAGCCGAAGAAACTATAATATTGGTGCGTGCAAATATGGTTGAATTATTCAAGTTGCGTGAAAGGCGTGAACTAAGTAAAATGTTTGTTTATGTCCAATACTAGGGGTACAAGTCGATTCAAAATTAGTGACAATTTAATTTCAGTCCATGTTCAGTGGAAAAATCTATGTTCCTATATACAGTTTAACTTAAAGCTTGAGCCATTAAGATCAAAATTTTTTTTTATTTTAAAAAAATTTTATCACTTTGATGTCTCCGAATCCACTCACTTAACTAATTCGAATTCAAATTTAGATCCTACTCGAGAGATAAACTATTCCCAGTAAGTAATTTTAAGAAAAAATTAAAATTATCACTTTGCTGTCTCCGAATTCAAATTTTTTTTTATTTTAAAAAAATTCTATCACTTTGCTGTCTCCGAATCTACTTACTTGACTAATTCGAATTCAAATTTAGATCCTATTCGAAAGATAAAATATTCCCAGTAAGTATTTTAATCATTATTGTTTACTCGCGCGACAAGTTTTGATCCACGGTTATAGTTATAATTAGAAGTTAGTTAAGATCAATTTTACTGGGTCCTTTTAGGATTCATTAGTTATGACATATCTCTACTCTACCTAAAGAAATGCTAGTAAGTTAGTTTAAATGGGTACCTCCCTGTTGCATAAAAGTATAATTTAGAATACCATCTCGATACTTAAAATGAGACTTGAATTTACTGAGGCAATGCAAATTACCTGAAATTAGACACTTTCAATATTCTCACTCATCACTCAAAAAAATTAACTGAGCAAAATTGATTTAATTTGTTGAGCTAATTAGTCTCTAGATTAGAGAAGCTCTTCCTTGAGAAATTTGGTACCTTATGGGCCGCTGATGCAAAGAATCCCACAAAAAGAAAAAGTTAGGGAAAAAAAAAAGAGGTAGAGTAACTATGGTTGGTGTGGGATTTGGGAATTTAATTCCTTTCTTTAACCATGAAATGCTATGCCTTTGATTTCAAGCTTCATGAAATTAATATTGACCTAAAATCACGATGGCACTGGTGTTATAAGGCCTCTATAAAAAGACTAGGATGCAAATTGATCCACTACAAAGTTCAGGTCTGTTTCTAAACATGGCATTGTTCAATTCTTTTATTCCTTCGGTCGCAATCATTTTGGGACGTTAGGAGTAAATTTAATCTCATTGCATTTTCATGCTTCAGTTTTGATAATACCAAAGGCCTTTCTAAATGTTTGAGTTTTTGATATTCTTTCTATATTTGTAAGGTAACTTCCAAAGATGATGGAGGTTAGAAGCAATATTGGAAGCATTAGATGATCATGCAGAAACCATCACCTAAAAATTGCAGGTAAATATGCATAAAGATCTCAAACTGCATCTTTACTATGTTTCTCCATCCACTATATGTGCGACAGTGCGAGATGATTCATTTGAGTTCAAGGCCTATATTCATTGGAACAAATTCAATGGTTGTAGTCTAAGATTACAAGTCATTTTCATACTCTAGCCCGTTAGTGGAAATCTAATATTAATCAGTTAACACAATATATCTAGGGTTGTGTCGCGTGGAACGATGACGACACGGGATCCATATACAATATAGTTAGTTGACCCTAACACAATGAAATATTTGCTGTTTTATCCAGGACCTTATCATGGTCAATACAATTCTAGAATTCAAACTTACACAAGTACATTACCTTTGATCAGTAGTAGTGCTCAGTTTTAATATCTTTAAATCATTGATGGTTGGAAAATTGGTTTTCTAATACTATTCATTGAAGTGATACAAAAGGTATTATTAGGTAAAACAAAAGTAGTATCTTCAATTTCCTGATGAACTGGAGAATGATTATTACTTGGCCTGCTTTTGATACTGCACTTTAAAAACTGAGAGATATAGGCAGGCTAGTCGCAGAGTTCAATTCAGTAAGGCCTAGAACTTTAGCTTTTTTTCTCTTCCTCTAATGATTCAAAATGATTTCACTTTTAACACAGAAAGAATGTTTTACAATGCTATTTTTTGTTGACAATGCTTCAAATGTGGAGGATAGTAATCTTTCTTTCTAGTTTCTGGTTACCGCTATGGCGCTATCTGATGATGCCCCCGCCCTCGATTGTGATCTGCTTGAGATGATTTCCTGAGCTTTACATGTGAGAAATCTGTCTGTTGTTTTCAGAACTGAAACTATATATTCTTCATGGATCAATCACCATAATTTGATGACAACTGATAACCGATTCTAGCTTTGGCTTCTTCTCAGCGTCAGTCTGCAATATTAGTATTTAAAGCTTCAGACAGAAACATGATTGATTGCTGACATTAACAACTTGAATATCCTTTATTACTCTATGCTTGAATTTGCCACACTGCAGTCTAATCTGCAGTTTTGAAAAGGTTTATGGCATCATTTTGAATGAAGTAGCGACAGTCGAAAAAGAGGAGGGCAAAAAAGAACCATAAACTATATTCATTGCTGCTTCTCCAAGGTAACATAGTGGCATAACTAGTCTTACATTAGAATAGGAAATCATTACACACCAATCTTCTTCAAGAACCATGACAAAGGACTATAAGAACCTTAGCTTTCTAGACAGTACACTAAAACACATTCAGTAACAGTACCATGTTACAGATAATATGAAATAAAAAAGAAAAACATAAAATTCAATTCTAATCCAAACCACACAACAATAGCTTCTTATTCTGATTTAGAACCAAATGCATAGGAGGAGCGAGCACAGATCGCCTTAGTCGGTGCAGCAACGGTACATGAAATACTTCTCCATTGGGCGACCACATTCTGCACAAACAACCAGCTCTGGGATGCCACCAGCGATCCCTGGAAGGATAAGGCGGTTGCAGTGCTGTGGAGTGTGAAGGCGCTGTAAGTACTCATTGAGTGCATGGATAAATCCTTTTTCCTTTGCGTCGTTCTCCCAAGTCGGGAAGTCAGTGAGGCTGGTGAGCATTGTATCTCCAGTAGCTCTGGCCATCTCTGCTGATCCTCTACTTATCAGAGCCCATCCATGATCACTTCCATCAAAGGTGAGGATGGTCAGTACCTCCTGCATTATTTTATCGTCTTGAACTGTCTTTCCATTCTGCATCTTCGAATACAGCATGCTACCCACTCTTGTCCAGAAATACCAAACATATGTTGGATCAGTCCAACAATGGCTGAGTTGTTCTGCTGTTATGACAGCATTGATCTTTCGCACACGCTCCCTGCTGCTGCTCTTTCCCACATAAACCATTTCCAACTGGATGCCTGCTTCAGTGGCAACCTTTCGTGCTGCTGTTGTAAATCGGCGAATCCATTCAATATCTTCCCCTCCATACAAACAAATGAACTTCTCTTCCACAATCTGCACTCACAGAAACCTAAATCAGTTTGTGGGATGAAAATAAAACCAGTCTCTTAGATGAAAATTCAAACCACCAAAGTTTGATCAATGGATCATATTGAATCGAATACAATGATTGGTTTGTAAAAAGGGTGTGGTGTAGTAATGTACCCAATCAAGTATGTTTTGATCGATGCCATCCACTAATAAGTCAAGCCTCCAAGTTTCCTCCTTCCACAGCGATTCCTCTTTCATTAGAGTGAAAGGATATGCAAGATTTCCCCATATCCAAACCATATGTAACGCATTAGGACAAGCCACTTTTCCTACTGGATCCAGCACAACTAACATCAACTTCTTCTCAAAATGCCACACTTCCTTTATGTATTTGATTACAGCAGGTTCAAGCAACGATGGATGATGGAGTGTATACCATGGCATTATAGACTGCAGCTGCTTAAATTTTTGTTCATTTGTTTCATTCCATGGCACTGACTTATTCACCACTGGTAGCCATACAATCTCATAATTATACTCTGGTCTTGATCGCGCTTCTTGGTAGATATGAGTGAGTACAGGAAGCTCTTCTTGGGAGAGGTCAAGATCTGATATCAGCAGCAACACTGTTTTTCTTCTCAAAACATCAACATTTACCTGCTTGAGAAGCTATTAGTTAAGTACTTCGTCCCAAACCAAAACAAGAATACAGAAAAAAAAAAAAAAAAAGAAAGGCTAAAGGGTTAAGAAAATACAAAGAAAACTAGTGAATCGGAGTCAGAAAGAAGTTAAATTGATGGATATACCCTTGTCTTAGTAGAGCCATGTGTGAGAGGTGGCAGATCATCCTTGATGTAGATCAGTGCCCTAAGGATCTTCAAGTTGTCCAAATGTGGTACATCAAAAATGTGGATCAGCATTTGAAAGTACTCAGCATGCATCTTCTCCTCTGCATATCATGTGCACTTTTAGAATCTCACAACACTAATTTGTTCACGGATACATTGCATAAATTTCCTTGTGCATAAAGTTTTAAAGTGAAAATAATAGTTGTTTGCTGGTGGTTTAGTGTCACTTATATCTAGGAATTGCCTACCAATATGCTGATAGCAGTTAGCTAACTGTGTCTTGAGGTGACCATGTATGCTGCTCAGCTTGTGGGCTAAACTTGACAGTTCCCATGTCTCCGTGGTAGATGCAATCATCCTGGTCAGTGCTCAAGCAAGGTAAATCAATGAACTAGCTACTCAAGAAAAGACTATTTCTATTTTCGAACAGCGTGTTTTTTCTTTCCCAGTGACTTACTCATAATTCATGCCTAATAGGCTTGTAAGCAAAGATGCACAGGCGACCATGCTTCTTACAGTCCAGTAAACAGCAGCGGGAATATGAGCAAGTGCCATGGCCATTGGAGGTGTGTCATCGGTAATGTACTGGCTTGGCAATCCCTTGAACTCAACAATGGTCTTAGTTACATCTAGCATTGCCTTGATAATGTTGTTAATCGCATCAAACCGCGATTTCAACCCATTAGAATGCTCAATGATGTCTGGCAATTGCTTGAGAACAGCAACAGACTTGGCCAGCGGATTTGTGGCAAACATCTTAGCAAGGAGCCAGAACTCCCCATAGTTCACAGCAAAGGAAGCCAATGATGTCACTACTTTTGCATCCCAAGAATAGCTTGAGAGCATGTTTAAGATCGCCATTGTCGCAGCATGCGCATCTCCACCACCTGAGCACTTGCATGACAACTGCCAATGCAAATCCGCAGAGAATTAGTCAAGACTACTTACAATTTACACATTCAACGATTACACGCATTCAGCAACATAAAAACTGACCTCGCAGGAGATTTTGTGTATAATGTAAGCCAATCCTTCCAAGATACCTTCATCACCAGCAACTGCAGCCTTCTCCTCCAATGCTGCATCACTTTCCTGATGGTGAACTCCCTAAACAACCAAAAAAAATAATAATCATGATTAGCTACAATGCGAGCTTAATGCACACTAATTAAGTGAAGAAAGACTAAATATACATTGATCACTCCATCAAGACCAGGGGAGACATGATGTAGGATTGCCTCAATGATGTGCAGAATAGGTTTGACTTCAAGCTCCCGACCATCGGGAGCATGAGTCGCCTGAATCTGCTTCATCATTGCGGTATCATCAGATGCCGAGAACATTCCACGATCACGCCTAACCATTTGCTTAGATTTAGCAGGCTGGATAGCAGCAGCAGTAGCCATTTTTCTTTTTCTAGCGAATTTCGGATACTTAAAGAGTTATAACATGAATTGTCTCAGGTTATCCCAATATGGCATTCCATGCAACGTATATATAGTGGATCAGAAACAGGGAAAAACGACATAAAAGAAGGTTGATCATGTTGAATCTGTACCTTACTTGCAAGGGACTGCAAAATTTTCCAAAGGGTATTGATATTTTGGAATTTGGATAAGGATTTTACCTTCTTTTTCCAAAGCAGAAGAATGATTTTTTTTTACTTTTGTGGCCCCCTGATTTTTGTCTTTCCTACATTAAAGTTTATATGAAATGCATGATTATATTTAAGCTCAACCCAAAAGTTGCTAAACCTTAACAAAATAATCAGATGAATTTACGGCTAAAGTGGAAATCAACTTCCTTAAACCTTAAAAAGCATAGTTTTGTGCATTGCTTAGTCTGTATGGTTTCCTATTAGGGTGTAATCAACTTCCTTCTTCAAGCCAGTTTTCCAGTTCCCCCTAGACAGGTTTAAAGTTCAATGGCAATGCTCTTGAGGGAGCAATACTAAGTAAATAGCAAATTCATTTTCTTTCCAGGCTTATAAATCTGAAAGTTTAATTAGTAGTACTTCTGTGTCATTTACATATTCCACTTTATTATATTGAAATAACTCAAACGAAAACTGAACTATTTAAATGAGACGAAAGAATCCTAACCCATCTAACAATGGTTGTCACCAAAGCACCTGGAACAAGATTTTATGTCTAAAGCACTTGACAAGAAATATAAAGCTATAATTGGATTGATGTCTTGCACTAGCTACAATATATTACATTTTGTAATTAGCGAACCCAAAATATCAAAAAAGAGAAAGAGAAAAAGAAACAGAAAACAGAATCGTTGCTAGACTAATACGATGAAAGCGGGAAAAAAAGAGAGACTACTCCGTCTCAGCATTTATTCATCGTGCTACTGTAAATAAATAAATATACTTTTACTTCGTGAATTTGAATAGTATTTAGCTGATAAATGTATATTTTAGTTTAACACTGTGCCATTTTCACGAGTTTAAATAAATGTTGATTACAAAATGCAAAAAAAAAAAAAAAAAAGCTTTCTTCTCACTAACAATTTAATTAAATATATCTTCGAACACTATTATCTTGTCAGGTAGGTGACGTTGCAAATGCTAGCATAATCAAGAATACATCAGCAAATAATCCTGTTTGGGAATCAACTAATGAGATTATCGCGCGAGAGACACCAACGGACGACACGTGTGATAAAAGGTTGATAATGATTTTCTATCTTCCTTCTTTATCCCTTTAGAAAGAAAACAAAAAAAAAAAAAAAAGTAAAAGCATTCTATTTCACTTGGAAAAATCATCGATCTCACCTTCAAGGTGTAATCTTTTCAAATTAAAACGGATATTTTGTACGAATCCGATAGAAGTTCATATAATAACTATTCCCTCTGTCCCATAATTATTGTCCAGTTTGGGTTTTTCATTTTTAGTTTAAATTGTACTAAAAGTGAAATCTCAAACTGGACAATAATTTTGGAATGGATGGAGTACAAGTTTTGGTACATTTGCATCACGTTTGAAATAGTTAATTTTGTTAGATAAGCTCTTAAAGATACAATGATTATTGATTACAAAACTTGCCTTGGATTTAAAGTGATTAAGTAAAATTGAAGGTTACTAATCTTTCATTTTTTAAGGAATCAATAACATTTCATCTTTTGAATTGCGAAAAATGCATTAAGGCTATAGCCTAATAATAGGTTTTTAGGAGATTATTGATGTGTCTAGAGATGAATTATGAGATTGAGGGGAATTTTTGTGGAACACATAAATATAGGTGATTTTTGCTCATTATATTATACTCTCTCCGTCCTAAAATTATTGTCTTGTTGTGGAACACATAAATATTGGTGATTTTTGCTCATTATATTATATTCTCTCCGTTCCAAAATTATTGTCTTGTTTTGTTGGAAATACAAAATTTTATTTTTAGTCAAACTCAACTTTTTTTGGCATAAGCTTTCAAATATACCCCTGTAAATATAAATGGTTTCATCGGCCAATTCAAAAACCCATCCCAGAGAGTCTTCCCACAAATTTATCACCTCCATTAACAATCAATGACGATAATGAAGATTATTACAGTTAGAATAGGGAAATTGTATTAGATTCATAATCTGTTGTACACAATATACAGACTATATATAGACATAAGAAACCCTAAACTAGAACATAATAGGAAATATACTAAATATTACAATACGCCCCCGCAAACTTACGGCGGAGAAGAGAGAAGCCGAAGTTTGTCCCGAAATCGATAGAATAACTCTTTGGACAAGGGTTTCGTCGGAATATCGCAAGTGATCGGCGAGAGATAGAATTGACCAAAACAAACTTACGCCGAACATGATCTCGGAAAAGTGAAAATCAATCTCAACATGTCTTGTACGAGCATGGAACACAGGATTGACAAAGAAGGAAAACCGCACTCTTGTTGTCACACTAAATCGAGGAGGGCGATGTAAAGAAACGCCTAACTCGGACAACAGATGACACACCCAATGCGGTTCAACACGAGACATTAGCAACCGCACGAAACTCGGCCTCGGTAGACGAGCGAGCCACGGTAGGTCATTTCCTAGAAGCCTGAGCAATGAGATTAGGTCCTAAATAAATGAGAAAACCAGTAGTAGAACGACGATCATCTAGACAACCAGCCCGGTCAAGCATCACTAAACGCAGTAAGAGTACCCAAATCGTAGGATGCGAACTAAACGATAATCAACGGTACCACGAAGATAGCGAAGAACCCGTTTGAGAGCACGAAAATGAGAAGTGCGAGGCGATGCATGAACCGACAAAGCTTATTAACCGCAAAAGAGATATCTGGACGAGTGAGAGTTGTATACTGCAGATCGCCACACAGTGACGATAAGTAGTCGCATCATCGGGAGACAACAGTACCATCCAAACGGGACAACACAACATTAGCCTCGCAAAGGAGTGGAAACGAGGTTTGCAAGTATGCATATTTGCAAGTCGTAGCAAATCGGTGACATACTTGCGCCGAGAGAGAAGCAAACCCTTGGAAGTACGACGAACCTCAACCCCAAGAAAGTAACTCAACGGACCTAAATCTCAAAGAGAAAACTCCTTAGCAAGACAAGAGATAAAATCTTGGACCAAACCGAAGTCTTGCTGTAAGAATAATGTCATCCACATAAACCAGAAAAACACAACCGAGACCCACGGCGATAGACAAACGAGACGGATCACAACGAGACTCCACAAAACCCAAGGTAAGCGAAATGCTGCCAGGTAGAGAATACCGAGCCCGAGGAGCTTGCTTAAGACCATATAAGGACTTATGCGGTTTACACACATAATGAGGGCGCACGGATCAACAAACCCCGTGGCTGAACCATATACACGGTCTCACTTAGAACTCCATTAAGAAAGGCATTACGACATCAAGCTGAGAAATCGACCATCCACGAGCCGGGCAACAGTCAAAGCGAACGAATGGTAACCGGCTTAACAACCGGACTAAATGTGTCGGTGTAATCAACCCCAAAAGATCGAGTAAAACCTCGAGCCACCAACCGAGCCTTATACCGCTCAATGGAGCCATCGGCATGAGTTTTAATCTTATAGAGCCATCGATTGCCGACAACATTGCCGGAGGAAGGAGGGGAACTAAAGTCCATGTGTTATTTTTGAGGAGGCGGAAATTTCATCCTTCATGGCATTACGCCACCGAGGAAGAGATTTGGCTTGGGTGAAGGATGTAGGAGCAGAGACAAGGCTGGGAAACAGAGGTAAGATGAGCCGAGGGATCAAAGATTTTCTTGGGCTTGGGTTGTGGACGAAGTGTCATGGAGTCTTGTGGGAGGAAGGAGGAGGAGGAGGTGGCGGCGGAGGACTGCAATCGGATGATGAAGAGCTGGATGCGGGAGATCTAGCTAACGATGATGAGTCGGGAGGGATAGAAGGAGACGAAAGAACGGTGTACTAGAAGGAGACGAGGAGGACACGAGAGGATGACGCAAGTATACCGGAGAATCTGGTCACACGCAACCAAGGGGTAGCAGAAGACTCCAGCAGCGAAGAAGGAGAACTAGAAATAGGAAGTTTAAAGGGAAAGAGTTTCTCATCAAACTCAACGTGACGAGCAACATAAAGACGGTTATTCACCACATCAAAACAACGATAACCAAGATGAGATGGAGAATACCCAAGAAAGACACACTGAGTAGAACGAAAGGAGAATTTATGTTTATTATAAGGGCGAAGAAGAGGATAGACAGCGCAACCAAAGACACGAAGAAAGGTATAATCGGTGGTGGTGATATAGTGTAGTGAAGGGTAGGTGACCTTGAAGAGGTTTACTAGGGTGGCGATTAATCAAAAACACAGCGAGTTTCAAAAGTAAAATCCCAAAACCGAAAAGGGGTCTTGGAATGGCCAAGGAGAGCAAGTCCAATGTCGACAATGTGACGAATTTTGCGTTCAGCGGTGCCATTCGCTCATGAGTGTGTGGGCACGCTAAACGATGAACAATACCGACATCCTTAAAGAAAGAATTGAGAGAACGAAATTCACCACCCCAATCGAGTTAACACTTTTAATGGTAGTGCCAAATTGGTTTTCTACGAGAGCTTTGAATTGTTTGAAAACATGGACAACATCACTTTTATACTTAATGGGATAAATCCATGTGAATAAAGAGAAGTCATCAATAAAAAGCACAAAGTAGCGATAACCATTGAATGACAAAATAGGAGCAGGACCCCAAACATCGGTGTGAATTAAATCAAGAGGTCTAGAGCTACGATGAAAAGTAGAAGGTAAGCCGACCCTATGTAACTTCCTAAACAACACGCCTCACATTTATCGGTGGACGTGGACACGGAGGAATAAGGAAGTTGAAACGCCTAACCAAAGTACGAAGAGTGACATTATTAGGGTGCCCTAAACGAGCATGCCACTGACCTAAAGAGACAAGATAAGCTGTTGGAGACAAGGAACCACGAGCAGGAAGATCTAAGCGATAGAGACCATTATCAGCCCGACCGCGGAGGAGGAGTTCCTTGGTTGAAAGATCCTTAACACAACAAGAGTCAGAATAAAATTCAAAAAAACAGTGATTATCACGGGTAAACTTCTGAACAGATAACAGAGGCTTAGTAAGAGAGGGAGCATGCAAGACACGATTTAAATAAAGAGGACGAGAAAACGATGGCAAAACAGATTGACCAACATGCTGAATAGGTAACGCATCTCCATTACCAACTAAAATATGATCCGTACCAGTATAATCATTGGAGATACTGAGAGAGGACAAATCTGGCGTGACATGATCGGTAGCACCAGTGTCTGGATACCAGGGAGTGACAGAAGGGGCATATTGCGCCATATGGGCTTGAGGAGACATAGTCGACTCTGGGTAAGACGGAAGAGGCAACAAACCAGCTGAAGGCGGTGCAGCAGAACCTGCCTGGGCATAAGCAGCCGACCGAACGGCAGGGGGTCGAGGAACAAAAGTAGTATCAAAACGGCGTCGACAAGTGGCGGCCGTGTGATTTAAGATACCGCAAAGCTGACACGTCTCACCCGGAGCGGGAGGAGTGTACCCACGCCGACCACCACCACGACTAGAACCCTGATTGCGCCGGCCGCCGCGTTGCGAGCGACCAGCACGAGAGGATTGAGGCGGCGTAGGAGAAGGTGGCGACCGCACAAGCATGGCCGTGGGGTGAAGGACCGGTGTTGGGCGTGAAGAAGTACCTCATACGAAACTAAGCTGTCCAAGGAGATCTTGATAGGAAGGGGTTCGGATCGTTTGCGAGCTCCGATGATGCCATTGAATTCGGCACTAAGCTTGCGGAAGATTATCGCATTAAACTCCGCAGGAGATATGCGATGGCCGGCAAGCTGCAGTGTATCGGCGATGCCCTTCGCTTTGGAGAGGAGAGCCGTGACCGACAAGTCACCTTTTTGCAAGCTGTGGAGCTCCATAACAAGCTGGGTCTGTTGAACATAAGAAAGAGTGCCGAAACCCTGCTGAAGAGCTGTCCATGCAGCCGCCGACGTTGTGCAGCCCTGGAGAACGGGAAAGATCTCTTCAGCAACGGAAGAAAGAATCCAAGAGAGGACCAACTGATCCTTTTGCTGCCAGATATCAAACTCAGGATTGAGTTGGGGCACGGCACCACTAACGGAAGGAAGAAAACGTGGCGGTGCAGGTTCGGTGCCGTCGACAATACCGGCAACACGAAACATAGTCAATAAAGGAGTAAACTGAAGACGCCAAGACGAATAGTTGGCCCGAGATTGCAACTTCACAGTAAAAGAATGATTGAGAGATTGCATACTAGGTTGAAGGATTGATACTGATGTCTGTGAAGAAGATACCGGTGACCGAAGATGAGTAGCCTGGTCGGCGGATGAAAGGTCGGTGATAGTCATCGTTGTAAGTAAGCAAGCAAAACTGAATTTTTTTTATGATTTTTTTGGTTTTTTTTTTTTTTTTTTTTTTTTTTTTTTTTTTTTTTTTTTTTTTTTTTTTGTTTAATGAGTTTAAGAATCCGACAAGGACTCACGTCAGGCGGGACGAAGCACGAATCACCGAACGAACGAATCCGACCGAAGAGCAGCAACCGGCGCCGGCAAGGACTCACGTCAGGCGGCACGCCGGCAACGGAGAAAGCGGACCGGCGGCAGCAGCAGACCACGAGCCGACGAAGACAGCAGCAGCAGAATCAACCGACCGCAACCGAAACTGGACGAAGGGGAAGACGACCGGCGGGGAAGTAGAGGACGAAGACGACGTTGAAACTGGATGAACACCAGCGACGACGACGAACGAGCAGCAGCAGCAGCACTCCGCAACCGACGACGCCAACGAACGAGCAGCAGCAAGCGGCAGCAGTAGGCGGCAGCAGGAGGCGGCAGTAGCAGCAGGCGGCAGCAGCAGCAGGACGGTGTGGCGGCGCACGAGAAGAAGGAACCTGGGTGTGGCGGCTGTGTGCCGGCAGAAGGAGTACGCACGGCCAAAGAAGAAAAGAAAAATCGGCGCACGGCCAAAGAAGGAAAACCGGCGGCGGGAAGAGAAAAGAAAAGAGAGAGAGAAAAAGAATTTAGGTTGTTTTAAACCTAGCTCGATACCAAGTTAGAATAGGGAAATTGTATTAGATTCATAATCTGTTGTACACAATATACAGACTATATATAGACATAAGAAACCCTAAACTAGAACATAATAGGAAATATACTAAATATTACAATAATTACACTCTGTTTCCTTCGAATCCAAGCTATTATGTCAACAATTCACCATTTTTGCTCAAGAATTTCAACACCCTTTACAGTAAAAATGAGTTAATCACCTCTGACTCAAACTCAAACTCAAAAGCAAGAACAAAGCTTTCATTTTCTTCATCACTAAGGCACCTATAATCGAACCAATTCAGGGGAGAGCTTCAAATTTTGGAGAATCTTCTCACTCTATATTTCAATCTAGTATTTAAGAAGACAATTCTTCAGTTTTATTGAAAAATTTTTGGATTAAAATAAGTTTTCAACCGTGAACTGTCAATCGAACAAAAATCTCGGATGAATTGATTTGAATTAGACGAAAGTTCTTACTTTGGTTTTTCATTCTGATTCTCCTCCATCGTGATAATAATTCAGTGAATTTCATTCGAATCCATCGCCGCTACATATATCGAGACAATATTATAGTGCAAAAATTTCATTCACATTAACCACCATTCATAGGCTTCAAATTCATGGAAATGTTCTCCTTTTTTTTTTTTTTTCTACATTTTCATTCTCCATGACGGTATTTAAGATTCATAAGCTCATTTCATGTACTATAAATGTGAATCGCAAACTTATATAGGTTACTTGATTTGGAGTAATGAAAACAATGGAATCTACAAAAGAAAATTTTATAGAATAGTGAAGTAACGAGTGTAAACAATTGTTCATATTACATTATATATATGCTCTATTCCAAACTGATTGAGACAATTTTTTTTCTTTTGTATTGAAGACTAGAGTGTCTCTGCCCGCGATTACTCGCGGGTTGTGTTTTTCACTTTAATAAATTTAATCTAAATTAAAATTATATTTTGGCTACGTTTTATTTTTGAGTTATTCAAACATTTTTTTTTAAAAAATAATAAATTTTAAATTATGATATCGTCGGAATAATAATCCATACTTACCGCCTATTATCCCTTTTACCCTATTAAAGCAGAAGACATGAAGCTTATGTGGCAACTATGTGTGCATCTGTTTTGGCTCCAATGCACTATATTTCAGATTTCAGAAGTCTTTTTGCCACGTGTAAGTCTCTTTTAATTAGAAGCTATATAATTTTTTTTTTAAAAAAAACACATAATTTACTACAAATAAGGATCAGTTACATTTCAAACGAATGAATATATTAATTCAAATTCAAATGTCCAATTGTACAGTTTTGCTAGGGTTAATATAAACAAAAAATAAAAATACCTAAATCCAGCAATTAAGAATAATGCCTTATAAACTAATTATTTATTATTCCCTTATCACCTCATATTTATATGTATATTTTTTTAAGCCCCAAACCATAGCATAAATGATATATACGCCAAACTAATTCCTCAAAAAATAGTAATTCAATTAGATTTTAATAAAATAGTAATTTAGAAGGAGCGCCCGAGCATTTGTCCGGGCCAAGCATCTAGTTGTGATTATATATGTATTGTTTTTTATTGTGTTTTGACATATTCTGTAAAGAAAATTAAAGCTTCTGTAACGCTTTATGTTGTACTCCATATAAATATTTCTCTATTTTTCTTACTTATGCTATCGCCAATTATAATTACCACCTCAATCAACTAATTCATTAATATTTCTCTTTTTTTTGACATAGAAAATATTTCTTTTTTTTTTTGGAAAACAGAATAGGGAACAAAACTTTTGTAACCTCTGAGAGAAAGTGTGGAAAATAGCATTAGTTATCAAATGTTAATCAACAATGATACAGATAATGAGAAAAAATAGTGAAAATACATAGTGACTGATGTGTCAATAATAATTAAAGGTAAAATGGTAATTTTGGAGGGAAAAGAAAAAATTTCAACGGCAAAGTGGCAACAAAATAAAAGATATATATTAGTCACTATATTTTCTCACTATATTATTTCACTAAGAGTATCATTTTTCTTTTTAATTAAGCATATTTTTATTCATAAAGTAATTGTTTAAGATAATAAGATTACATATATGAACAAAAAAATTAGCCAATTTTAAAAAGGAAACAAAAAAAAAAAAATAGAAAATGGGATTGAAGCCCAAAAGTTGAGGCCGAAACAGAAAATGAATCGAAAGGACCCAGACTTGAAAAAAGATCTATTACCATTTGGGGATATTTTTAGATTAAATTACAAATATACCCTCGTTGTATTAATGAGAGTTCCAACGACGAAAGTACTGTAGGCTTGGGAGTTCTTGCTTTTACATAGTAGTAGATATAGTAGTAGATACTAATTTTTTTTTTTATATTAGGGAAGCTGAAGCTTAGTTACAAAAGCAACTTGTCACGAGTGAATTGACTAGACCATCTAATACTAGTTTCCGTTGAGTTAGAGTTGAGGGCGTTAACAAAACGTGCAACCCCAGGGTGTATGCAAATCCTAATTTAACTAGAGAATCAGCCGATTCATTTTCGGGTCTTCTTATATGGAAGACCTCTACTAACCATTGACGGTTCAAAAGGATTTTTACTCTACTAAGTATATTACTAGAACAAAAGGAAGGACTTTCTTCATTGAGGAGATTTACGACTTGTTGGCTATCCAATTGTAGTAGATACTGAATTGGAGATCTTAAAAAGAAAAAGAAAAGAGAAGAAAGAAGCCTCTAACTTGTGTTTTCGGATGGCTTTGAGGTTGAAAATTTATTGGGCCGACGGTCGTGGACTATTTACTAAAACCCAACAAAAGCTACCCTCTGATAATGTACGACCCAAAGTTATATGTTTAGATATAGCTACCTTTACACCATTAAAGCCCACTCGCTTGCCGTCGACTTCCTTCCCTCCGCCTGCACCACCGCCTGCGACGTCCCTCGTCCGCCTCCGTGTCCGCCGGTCGCCGCCTGCTGTCGTCTCTCTAGAAATAGTTTATTAGCGGGAAACTTCGTCTTTTATTGTATAGAGGTGACTTCGAATCCTCTCTCTTCATTCCTCTTCTATTGTATAAAGGTGCCTTTTACTAAGCTTACTCGATTGAAACTGCTTTTGTATTTTTGCGAGCTATGATGCACCAAAAAAAACAATACTTATGTTTTTGTGTGAAACGAAATGGACATCTGATGAAAACCAATAGCTGTTTGTGAAAATTACTCTTATAGTGACATAGTGTAGAAGTAGTTTTTGATGGTTTGATTAGGATCATTAAAATCATCGGCATTCCCGAGGTTTGAGATCAGCGAATGTTTAAGCCAAGGGGAACAATGTGTGAAAATGTGAACCGAACAGTAATTGGTTCTAAAATTGGTGAGATTTTAGGAAAATTTCGAATTGCTTGTTACCTGTCTACATGAGAAACAGAACTTGATTCGACCAACGAGTACAGCTCATTAGAGAGGCGAATTCAGTTCTGAAATGATGAGATCTGCGGAGGATTTCAAAGGGCTTATTTCTTAGACGAGTTGCTTTCGAGATGCAAATTATGCGTAACTCCTTATCATGCTCCTGACTTTTGTTTAATGACTGCACATGCTCTTTTGGGGTTTCTTGAAACACAGGCAATGTGTATAACTGCGTAAAACATGCAATGCATATGTGAAAATGTGCAGAGTGTAACATTTGTTAGAATGTGCACTGTAAACGCGCAACACTGGAAATGCATACATAAAATTATGTAGAACATGCCTGAATATGTGCAACTTCATTTGGTTGAGAACAATTATGGTACTTAGTGCAGAGTGTTATGCAAGTAAGAAAATTATTGGGATAGTTTGAGTCTTTCATGTATCTTCTTTTTCCAGTTGTTTTGTCTCCTGATCGAAATCAGAAAATGTGTTACCAATTAATAGTAATGGATCCTTAGTTATTGATTATCAATTTATTTCTGTTGTTGTCATGCTACATGTCCCATTTACAAGTGAACTTATTAAGTTGTTTCAGTACTTAGTATCTGCACAAAATAGTCAAATGAATTCGAGATTTGGATAAGATTGCATGTTTAGCTTGAAAACACTTGTAACTTGTTTCATTTCCTTAATCAGTGGGATTCTGATTCGAATTTCATCAAGCAGAAACATGTTAAATATCCTATTATGTTTTGGTGAGTTGTGAGAAGTTTTAGGCTTTCAGCTTTTTAGAAGCATAATCATTTGTTGGAGAGTAATTCATTTTGCTTCGTGATGTTTCTTATAGATGGGGGAGCTAAAGGCTGAAAAGCATGTGAAATACATCCTAACAGTTGAAAAGGTATGAAAACTATGGATTACTTATTTGTTTTCTCTGTCGATTTAGAGCACATAACTTTAAATTCAGTTTCTGGTTTTTGAGCTATTTTTCTTGGATTTCAAGATTACTTACAACTCTCGTACATGATTGCTCAGAAGAAGGATGATTTTGAATCTGTTGTGATGGAACATCTTCGGTTGAACGGTGCATACTGGGGTCTGACAACTCTTGATCTTCTTGGAAAGCTTAACGCGGTAGATCAAGATGAAGTAATTCCTTGGGTGATGCAGTGCCAACATGAATCTGGTTTGTGCTTACCTACATTTCGTTTATCTTTCATTCTGCAATTGGTGAATTACCTTTTTATTCTGTAATTAGTATGGCAATGCCTCATCTTGTTGACACAAATTCATTGATTTATATGAGTGCTATGCAGGTGGTTTTGGTGGTAATATTGGCCATGACCCACATTTGTTGTACACTCTTAGCGCTATTCAAGTTTTGGCTTTATTTGACAAGATCGAGATTCTTGACATTGATAAAGTTTCAAACTGTATCCTTCACTTTAGTGTTTCAGATGTTAAAATGACTAACATGTTTGTTTCATTTTTAATCATGAACTGGAATTTGAATGATGTTTGTTTTCGTCTCGCACTTTTGGCTTAATGATATTCCTGTTTAAGGGCAGGAACTCTCTCAGCTCGTGATGGTGGGTGTTCATCATACTAGTAGGCGTCGTATGTGGTGAAAACTGTGGGAGGCTGGGATTAAGATTCAGTCAATGGCATTAGATTAATCCAACTTCATTGTCAAAAAAACAGAAAAAAAAATATAAAATAAAATAAAATAAAATAAAAGATTGATCCAACTTCGAATGATGGGCATGATGTCTTGTCATTAGCTTGTGAACTTGACATTTGGAGTTAGATATCGCTCGTTTACAAAATGAAGATGGGTCCTTTGCTGGTGATATTTGGGGTGAAATTGACACAAGGTAGCCTTTGTAATTACTCACTTTTTTCTGCAAATACTTTCTTAGCTGTATAATGTGATTGACTTTATCCTTCAGGTTCTCTTACATTGCTATATGTTCGCTTGCACTGTTAAAGCGGTTGGATAAGATTGATGTGGACAAAGCTGTGAAGTACATCGTTAGTTGCAAGAATCTTGATGGTGGATTTGGAAGCACCCCTGGGGGAGAGTCCCATTCTGGACAGAGTATATTCTAATTTTGTTTCTCTCCAATTACTTTTGTGCTTCTGCATATGGGTATCTTTAGTTTCTGATGGTTCATGCATTGGAATATGTTGTGCATATGGCATTTCTTGTTGATACAATGGTTTTCAAATAATGCAGTTTTTTGTTGTGTGGGAGCTCTTGCTATTACTGGTTCTTTGCACCATGTTGACAAAGATCTCCTTGGGTGGTGGTTATGCGAGCGGCAAGTCAAATCTGGAGGTCTAAATGGGCGTCCGGAGAAGCTTCCTGATGTAAGTATATTTCTAATATTCCATGGTTCTCAACAACAAGAAGCCATTATCCCACTATATGGGGTTGGCATCGAATGGTAATTCTTAAAATTGGGGGCAAAAAATGTTATTTGTGTTGATATTTTACTTTTGCCATCATTTCAGGTATGCTATTCATGGTGGGTTCTTTCTAGCTTGATAATGATTGACAGAGTTCATTGGATTGACAAGGAAAAGCTCATCAAATTCATTTTGGACTGTCAGGTAGGTTACTTTCATTGTGTACTATACTATAATTATTCTTGCAACCTCAATGGAGAAGATTAAAGAGTCTTTTCCGGGAAAAAAAAAAATGCAGGATACCGAGAATGGAGGGATTTCAGATAGGCCTGACGACGCAGTTGACATTTTTCATACCTATTTTGGAGTTGCGGGTAAGAGTTCGAACTGAAAGTTTTCATGCTTCTTTTAAAAGTTTGTCAAGTGAGATCATTGGATTCTTGATTGAGTCATTGAGATCTTAAAGGACTTTCAGAAAATGGTGTTAAGTTACTGTGACATGATAGTTGACTCTGGAACTCTTGCGATAACATAGTCGAATTTGGCAATTATCCCTTTTTAATAGTTTCAACAAATGCGATCGAAAGGGAAACTGTACTCCCTCCGTCCCATATATTTTCGTCCATCTGATGGCTTAAGTCCTTTGGTACTTCTTATGTAACTCGTTAAATTGTTTGTTTGACAGGTCTTTCACTTCTGGAATACCCTGGAGTGAAAGCGATTGATCCAGCTTATGCGTTACCTGTTGATGTTGTAAATAGAATTTTCATTGGCAAATAGATTCTGTATTTGTAATTCGCACCCGTAATTTTCCAAAGGCTGTATTTGAAGTCTCTGGATTTTGTAGACATTCCCTTTGGAAACACCCATCAAATTTGTATTTAATTGACTTCTACTTCATTTAATAGCCCTTCTGAAAAGTTAAAATACAACGAAAATGATCATAATCTATAATTTAGCATGGGCGAAATATTTTTTTTTTTTTAAAAACAATTAATTACAGCAAAAATAGCTACAAGTTGCTCATTGTCTTCGTTTGATACCAAATGTTTAAAAATAAACCATGCGCCACTATAAAGTTGAATAGTGTCATCTTTAACTTTTCTGTTAGGTTTCGCCCAAAAAGTAACGATTAACTCATTTTTCACGTGTATTGACCAAAGGGTAATTTTGACTTTTCAAAAATAAAATAAAAAATATTTTAAAAAATTATTATTAAAGGCCGCCACCACCTCCGCCAGTTTACACCCCAACACCAACTTACCAAAACCCACCTCCGCCTCCGCCAGTGTATCAAAGCCCGCCGCCGTCGCCGCCGCCAATACTCCAACTCCGACACCAAGTTACCAAAGTCCACCTCCGCCACCTCCAGCTTACACCCCGACACCAACTTATCAAATCCCCTACCGCCATATCCAGTTTATACTGCACCACCTACTTACCAAAGTCCGCCTCCACCACCGCCACCAACTCCGACTTATCAACGTCCACCCCTACCACTACCGGTTTACACACCAACACCAACCTATCAAAGCCCCTCTCTACCTCCTTCAGCCGAATGTAATGAACTAGTCCCACCACCACCTCCTACATGGCAACCACCATCATCTCCGCCGCCATCTCCTCCATATTCCTACACCTCACCACCACCTCCATCCCCGTCCCCACCACCTCTGGTAGTATATTCTTCACCCCCACCACCTCAATCTCCACCGCCACCATAGCCTCCATCCCCATCGCCACCTCCGCCGGTGGTACATTCACCTCTACCTCCATCACCATCCCCACCACCTCCTCCATCCCCATCGTCAATTTCATTTACAGTTGATGGGATTTGTGGGTTCTGGATATGAGATGAAATTGACGGTGTTTGCCCCTTCGGACGATGATTTGAGTTGATGGGATTTGTGGGTCGATTCTAAAAAAACTTTTGGATTTTCTATTAGGCTTTTTGAGATGATAATTTGAGTTGAGATGATAATTTGAGTTTAACATCAGATTCGGCAGCCATAATTTTCTTAAGTTAATGATTTTCTTCTAAAAACGAGCTGCCCATGTTGAAAACGTGTTGTGTCGCCGCTGCCTGATTTGTGGTGGACAGAATTAATGGCACTCGGAGTACTCTTGGAGGTCAATTCTTTAAGTTTTTAACATCTGAAATTTTGAAATCAGGAAAAGAATTTCAGATCAGCAAGCCGGTAGCTTGAGAAATTTCATCACCCACGATGATGATTGAAAGACCCTTTCCCCGGGTTGAGAATTCTTCAAGCTTTTTTTTTTTTTTTTTTCCAAACTCTAATAGCGATGAATTGATGGTGGAGCTCATTTTGAGTTGGGATGAATTAAGGTGATGTCCTTGGTTTCCAAAATTTTAATCTTTTTTCTATTTTTTTTTTCAATTCTGTAGAAGTAGATGAGATGATGGTGATGAAGATTGCAGACGGGATTTATGGTGGTGATGAAGAACACCAGAGAGAGAAGGAAAGGGGATTTGTGAGAAAGTAACCAAAAAAAAAAAAAACATAGATGAATTTGGGAAATTAAAGTCCTTTTGTTTTTTAACAAAAATCTAATTTCTTGTATTAGAAGTGGTAGATTAAATTTAATGTTTCAATAATAATCACGTGCATGTCACATAACTAAGATGGATTGGTCAATATTATTAAAAGAGGGAAATACCCTTCACCCAATGCACGTGTCCTCCACATGTAGCCGTTGACCGTTATTTTTTAGGTTAAAATTTAACAGAATAGCAAAATGTGATACGATTTAAGTTTTTGGTAGCACATGTTCTGTTTTTAAACATTTGGTATCAAATGAAGACAATGAGCAAGTTTTTGGTATTTCTGCTGTAATTAATTGTAAAAAAAAATTAAAAAATTTATAAATTAAAATTTAATTTCAACCTCACTTCCTTCGGTATAGTTTATATGAATGACATCTCTATACAGTGAAAATTAACATAGTTATAATATATCTTATGATATTTTGCCGTAAAATAGTGTGTGACAAGACCCTAACTATCACTGTTTTTGAAATATAGTTTGTTTATATTTTCATTGTTATTCTTTTACACTTCATGAAAGCAAATGACACTTAAAACACATGGCAATTTCACATTCATTTTTTTCCCACCAAAAGGCTTTTTCAGTATGAAAACTTCAGACACGTGGCTTCCTAGAAAAACAGATAAATAGTTTGTTTAAAACAAAAGTTGTAAATCCCTTTAAAACTCACGAAATAGAGTAATGCTCCGTAATAAAATCCGGAGTAAAAGTCTCTCAAGATGAATATCTTTAGCTTCCTCAGCACAAATTCTTACGGATCACAATAAATCCCATTAAATCACTAAAATCAAAATTCAAAACTCTCATTTGGACCTTCCTAAGCTTCATTCAAATTTTATAATTTTCTCTCTTTTTTTCCACGATCTGACCCGCTACTAGGCATTCCAACGCGACCTGTGTCGCCTCGAGTTTCCTCCCGCCCGCTTCTCTCATCTTTGGTCGGCATAGAAATCCCTTTGAAGGAGGCAAAGGACAGTGTTGGATTCGGAGTCGGCCGCTTTGATAATCCCCAGCTTTCGATCCCAATGCTGATCTTCTTTGACGAAGACGTCGAAGAGGGAGAAGAGGAACGATCCAATTCGGCTTGATTCAGGCATTATGGTAAGATCTTCATCATTTTTTGCATAGATATTATTATCATCAATTGAAATACTGCCTTCATCATGCTGAATAATGAGTGCAAATTATTGGCCGCTGAATCAAATCCCCTTTGAATACGAAAGATTGCACAATCGGTGGGCGAAGGGCCGGAGGATGACGGATCGAGGTAGATGGCGACGGCTGATATAAAAGGTAAGAGCAATTTGTGATTTAGGATTTCTGTTTGGGTTCGATTCAATTGGCACAAATTTGTGTTGGTTTATGTCCTAAAGCCAATCAAATTAAAAGGTTATAGTTTATATTTATTGCCAATGTGTTTGAGAACCTATAGGGTCATACATGAATGATTTAATTATTGGGATGATTAATTTATAAGATAAGTTAAACTTTAGGGACTTATTAATAAATATAATTTAATAATAAGTCACATAATTCCTATAAAAGGGGGCTTCCTGCGTCCTTATGGGGACAGCCGTGACACCCAGCAGTGCAAGAGAGCTAGCCTTCTTCAACTTGTGTTTGTCCCAGAAATCATTCATGTGGATACCGATAGAGGCCAGACAATTGTGTGGCTTGTGATCATACTTCTTCTATTGCTAGTAGCTATTTGATTCGCTGCAAGAGGTAACCCTAATAATCTCTTTGGATATATTATTCATAGATTGCAAATAGGTTTTGGTAAATATCAATCTCTGTTGAATCCGCTGCGTGATTCATTACTTACAGTGGTATCAGAGCCACTTTTGCTTGTCTATGTTTGATGTATGCCATTTCCAAACCTTCATGATCTATACGGTTAGATATATGCAGTTTAAAGGAGTTTATACGTGCATGATCTAATCCCAATTATTTTGGGTTTTTTTTTTTGAGATTTGTTAATTAAAAACTAGGGTTTTGTATTAAACAAATTTTTTTGGTATGGGATGTATATTTGCATGATACATGTGATTGTTCATGGAACTGGGTGTCTGCCTCATGTGTTTTTTATTAGATTTTGATCGAATAAAATAATAAAACTATCAATTATGTTGAGGGTTAGGCACGGGGAAAGACAAAATTGTTTTGGTTTGGTTCTAAACAACTAAACGTGGGGTTTTGTCATCTGACTTGAATTTCGTGTTCGATAATTGATATTAAACTAGTTTGGTTTATGAAGAGTTAGGTTTCGGTTGGATGAAAACCTAGTTTTATTTAATTAATTAAACTACTCTCAATGATTTGGCTTTATACGGTTTGTCTCGTTGGAGGAATTTGGCTTTGTTTTAAATAAATTCTATTTTCGTCGGTGGATCAAAGTTGCCGGCTGATGTTATTGAACAGTTATGAGAAATTTTGTTTTCGATGCATGTACTCTTAAACTATTTTCATGATTGTGAAACGGGACAATCGTTATTTTGGGGCACTGGATGAGATTCGGTTTGTACTGCTAAAATTTTATTAAAATTTTGATGACTAATTTTAATCCAAGAAAAAGATTTGTGGTTTTGAATACAAAGTTTTGTCTTTTTCCTTGGTTAGTGCACAATGCATGCAAGTTTAATTTGGTCAGGTTAATTGAATATTGATCACTTTAATCGAGTGCATGCAGTTTAATTGTATGATTAGGTAAATCCGATGTTCGTAATGCCAATTTTTGTTTGTGCAATTTGGTAAAATAGATTTGATCGAAATTATGTCTGTTTATATGATTTGTTTAATTACAAATTATGTGACATATAAATTCAAATAATTAATTGCTAAATCCCTTATCAAATATTAAGTTTTATACCTTCCATTATTATAGTAAAATACATGTTATTAGGCAAATTAATTTGTTGGGTTCCCCCAAGGTCATTCTATCATTAGTATGATTTTATTGAGAAATTTGATTTCTGAATAATGGGTTTAACTTAACGAAAATTTATAATTTGTTGGGTTCCCTCAAGGTTATATATTTTCGAGGTAAGGGTTGGGTATTACATTTGATGTATCTATCAAGAGTTGGTAACCTAACAATCTAGGAGTTACAAAGTGTTGTAATTGGTAAAAGTTATCTACCTTACGACATTGTTTTGATTTGTTGGGTTCCCTCAAGGTCAGAATAAAATTAGTAAGGATCCTAGCCTACTAGGAATATTTTCCCGAATCAATTTTAAGGGTAATTGGTTTGATTAAAATAGTGGGAGCAAAATCAAAATACATAATTCATATCTTATGTTTGATTTTGTTTATTGCATAAATAATTTGTTTATTTACTCTATCTTTATTTTTGGTTGTAGAAAATGAATTACCAATATGTTGGTTTGCGTGATCTGCTTTTAAATTTCAAGTTGAATGGTTCAAACTTCATGGAATGGCAACAGAATCTGAGAATTGTTCTCAGGTCTGAAAAATTGTTTTATGTCCTTGATGTTCCTCTTCCTGAAGAGCCTGCTAATGATGCTAGCGAAGAGGCTCAAGACGCTTATTTGAGCCATAAAGAGGACAATGAGCGTGTTTGTTGTCTCATGTTAGCTTCTATGGTGTATGCCATCCAAAAGCACTATGAGGATCTTGATGCTTATACCATGATACAACAGTTGAAATCGTGGCATGACAAGCGTCAGAGAAACGAAAGATATGAGATATCTAAAGAACTTCATTAATGCAAAATGGTAGAAGGATCTTCAGTTGCTACTCATGTGCTGAAGATGATGGGTCTAATAAAAAAGCTGGAGTTTTTGGGATGTGTTATGCATCATGATACAAATGTTGATCTGGTGCTTTAGTCCCTTCCTCCATGCTTTGCGCAATTTATTGCGAATTTTCACATGAACAAGATTGAGAATACTACCTTGGCTGATTTGCTTAAAATGCTTCAAATTGCTGAAGGAGCAATGGTAAAGGAAAAGGTTCCGATCATGGTGGTTGGTACTTCAAAGAAGTATCAAGATGGCAAGAAAGCTAAGGCTGGTCTTAAGAAGGCTAAGCAAGCTGCTTTGAAGCCACAACCTATGATCAAGAAGGACAAAAAGGCTAAGGGCACTTGTTTCCAATGCGGTAAGACTGGACATTGGATGAGAAACTACCTAGAATATTTGGATACCTTGACTATTCAGAAGAAATTGAAGGAAACTTCCATTTCAGGTATATTAATGATTGAGATTAATATTAAAACTTCAGTTCTAAATTGCTGGGTATTAGATACCGGAGCTGGATCTCATATTTGTAAAAATGTGCAGGATCTGAGAAGAAGTAGAAAATTGGCAGTGGGAGAAGTGGAACTACGCGTGGGAAATGGAGCAAGAGTTGCTGCATTAGCCGTAGGAACTTATTATCTTAGTTTGCCTAGTGGTTTGATTTTAGAATTAAAAGATTGTTATTATGTTCCAGCTATGACTAGAAACATTATTTCAATTCCTTGTATAGACTTGGATGGTTTTACTATTACTCAAAAGAATAAATGTTGTTCTTTTTCACGTGATGGTGTTTTTTATGGTGCTGGTCCATTGATTAACGGTCATTATATTCTTAAATTAGATAACCCAATTCTCAATATTAATGCAAAAAGACATAAAGTTGATAAATTGAAACAATCACATCTTTGGCATTGTAGACTTGGTCATATAAATGAGAATCGCATATCCAAGTTATACACTAGTGGTTATTTGGGGTATGACACATGCGAGTCTTGCCTATTTGGAAAATGACCAAATCGCCTTTTTC